CTGCCAGGCAGAGGATCTGAGGTGGGGGGAGGGGCGCTCGGCTATAGGGGGCTTCTAAGGGTCACGGGGTAAATGGGGGCAGGGATCCAGGGACAGTTTCTAATCTCTTCTTTAAGGGTAGGGGGCTGGAGCGGGCCCCCCTTTCAGGGCCCCAGGGGACCAGTGGAGGGCCCCCCTTCCTGGGCCCCATGTTAGGGAGAAGGGATGTAGGGCTCAGCTCCTGAGAAGGATGATAGGGGCTGTAGGGGGACGGGTCAGGAGTAGGGATGTAAAATGCTGTTTAAAACCTTAATGGATTAAACACTAAATCTGGCCAGTAAGCATCACCGGGTAATGTGGGTGCTTCCCTTTGGATCCTAGTCAGGCTCCCTAGGCTCTAGCAGAAGGGCATCTCTAGGAGGCCAGGCTATGGAAGAGGAAGTGACTGAGAAAAGTTGAGTCCAGGGGGATCTTGCAAGTGCAGTGGTCCCACTGGGCATGGCCCTTTGGTGGGCGATTTGTTTTGAACACACAGTGGGGAAGTTGCCATGGCGCTTCTGAATATGTTTGTAATAGTTTTAAGGAGTGCCTATATCTGGGCCCTAACCAGATAAATAGGATCTGGAGCACTGTCATGTTATAAAATAACTCTTAAACTAGGATTTCAGAATGGAGTCCAAGGAGGATCCCTGTCCCTCTGGGATGGGTTATTCTATATTTGCATGTGAGTATTATTTTTTGTCATAGATATGGAATACAGTTGTAAAAATAATAGCTCTGAGGGAACTTATTTCTGGAAAGTACAAGTGATCCTTCCCAAGTGATGCTGAGAGTTATGGTGGAAACCCCATAATTCCTTGTGTAGTATTCTGGGTGTGATCATAGTGAAAAGCAGCTGTTAACCAAACCTTTGACTGGTTGCTGCTCAGGGAAGTTTAAGGTAGCTTCATTTAGGCCATGTTGCACTTGGCTTTCTAGAGAGCCATGGGCTGAGCTTCCAATCTTAAGTTCTAATTCTGGTTCTGACTTGGACTCCTTCTCTGTTCTCAGGTAAGTTGTTTACCCTGTCTAGCTTTTGTGTCCACTACGAAAATCATAGACTAGGAAGGGACCTCAAAAGGTTATTGAGTCCAGTTCCCTGCCCTCATGGCAGGACCAAGCACTGTCTAGAAGACTCTAGATCATCCCTGACAGGTGTCTAACCTGCTCTGAAATATCTCCAGTGATAAAGATTCCATAGCCTCCCTAAGCAATTTATTCCACTGTTTAACCACCCTGACAGTTAGGAAGTTTTTCCTAATGTCCAACCTAAACCTCCCTTGCTGCAATTTAAGCCCGTTGCTTCTTGTCCTATCCTCAGAGGCCAAGATACCTGAAATTCACTATCATGTTCCTCTCCGTCTTCTCTTTTCCAAACTAAACAAGCCCAATTCCTTCAGCCTTCCCTCATAGCTCATGTTCTTTAGACCTTTAATCATTCTTGTTGCTCTTCTCTGGATCTTCTCCAATTTCTTCACATCTTTCTTGAAATGTGCTGCCCAGAACTGGACACAATACAAATACGTTAATATGTTGTTGTGGAACTGCATGCCTTTGGTTCATGTTTTCATGTTTACTGCTTCTGCAAAACCAGTGCTTGTCTACACACAGATTTTGCACTGATAGAATTAAATCTCTTTTTAAACCAATTAATGCATAAAACTGTGCAAAACAGCCTTAACTCTGAGAGAGATGAACTGTCCCTTCGTCTCCAGATGATAACTCAGATGCTCAAGGATAACTGATATTGGCAAATTAAGTTTTAACTATTTCACTGCTCATTGAAGCACGTAACAAAGGAGGGGGAGGTCTATAACCTAGAATCGTGGAATACTAGAACTGGAAAGACCTTGAGAGGTCATCAAGGCCAGTGCCATGCATTCATGGCAGGACCAAGCACTATCTAGATCATCCGTGGCAGATGTTTATCTAACCCATTCTTAAACATATCCAGTAATTCCAAAACCTTTCTTGGCAATTTATTCCAGTGCTTAACTACCCTGACAGGCAGGAAGTTTTTCCTAATATCCAACCTAAACCTCCCTTGCTGCTCTCTTCTCTGATGATAGGACAGAATAAGGAGAATAATTTTTCTCCCACCTCCTTGTAACGTTCTGTTAGGTATTTGAAGGGTCTATGAAAGTCTACACTTTCTGCTGTGAGTGACAACTCATTTTGGCACAAGACATTAGTACTTATGGCTTATCTAGGTTAGATCTCTGTGCATATACCTCAGTTAAAAAATTGCCATTTTTATGGTGCTTATTTCCTTACATTGTTTTCATCTGGAGTCAACATACACTTTTCATAGTGCTCAAAGATTCAGAATGTTGTTAACATAATCCTCAAAACATCTTTGAGACTATTATGTCTATTTTGCAAATGGGGAAACTGAGACAGTTGTCCAACTCAAGATTTCTTGGACCTTCCTCTCAAACATCTGGTTACTGGCTGGGGCCCCAGCCAATAATACGGGAATAACAATGTTTATCCACTTTTGTAAAGAGCTCTGAGTTCTACTGCTGACAAGTGCTAAGTATTAATATTATTTTTGGAGGGAATCTCAAGACTGTTGACATGGAGCACTCTGAGGGAGACCTTGGATGATATTGTCATAGGTTTTTAAACGGTCATATTTTCCAGTGCAGGTTGGTGCAAACTTTTAAAACAGAAACACAATACTGCTCCAGTATAATTGCAGGTTGGTGCAAACTTTTAAAACAGAAACAATTATACTGGAGCAGTATTGTGTATTTTGTGTCACTTCAGAAGTGCTTGCTTTCTTGTATTAGTTAGTTTAAAAGGAGATTTAATTCTATCAGTGCAAAATCGGTGGGTAGACCAGCACTCACTGTTTCAGGTTTTGCAGATGCAGAAAACATAAAATGTGGTTGAAAAGAATGGGACCAGGCTATACTGAAATAATTTGGAATAAATATGCTTTATAAGCATTGCAATGGTCTAGCTGTTGAAAAAGGAGAATAAGTAGTTAAATTGAAATAAAACATTACGGTGCTTCACAGTACTACTTAATAAGTGAGTATCATTTGTATTAGGCTCAAGTTATTTTTTTTTTTGTAAAGCTAAAAATACAAGACCTTTTTTTAAACATTCTCCAGCCATGTTTTCAACAGTAGCCTAGTGCAAGGGCATGAGACTTGGAAAGTGAAACTTTGTTTTGTACAGTAAACTTCCGATAATCTGGCACCTTTAGGACCCAGGGGGTGCCGGATTATCAGATTTGCCCGACTATCGGAAGGGGGGGCTATGAGCAGTCTGGGGTGGGGTTGGGGGGATGCCCCCCCAGACCCCTCATAGCCCCCCCCTTCTGATAGTCTGACTCTGCCCCAGGTGTCCCTGATTCAGCCACTGCTGGTCAGTTTCAGCAGCGGCTGAAACAGGGACCCCT